CCTATAGCTCAGCCCCGTCTCGGGGGTAAATGAGGCTGTTGACGCTGAAGCTGTTGTACAAGTGGCTGTTGAACTGTCCGCCCTGCCCCCCTCCAAAGGCGTTGTAGTACACGCCGCGGTTGAAGTGCAGCCCCTCGGCGCCGTGCTCAGACCCGGCCGAGTCCTGCTGGCCGCCCGCATGGTACGGGCCCTGCAAGGCGCTAATGTTCCTGCTGGACAGCTCGTTGAGCAGGCCCAGCGGCCCCGCCGGTCGCCCGCCGGTCGCCGCCAGGGTGGACATGCCGCCGTAAAAGTTGCTCAAGCACGACGGCGTCTTGAGGCTCTCGCTCAGGGCGTCCATGTCCGAGGGCGAGGGCGGGCCCAGGAGCTGGGGGCTGTCGCAGGGTTTGGGCGTGGGAGCCCGCGCGCCGTCCTCCATCTTGGTGGCCCCCGACGCCGGCGCTAAAGAGGGGTCGGACCTTCGCTTCCTCTTCCGCCGGAAGTTGCCGTTGTCAAACATTTTCTCGCAGTTGGGGTCCAACGTCCAATAGTTTCCCTTGCCTGGAGTGTGCACATTCACATCTGTCATGAATTTCTTTTCTTTTTTTTTTTCGATTGGCACAAGTACGGGCCTCGAGGGCCGCCGTCCGGCCCGTTTTGAGATGTTTCCCCTCCTCCAACACACCTGAGTCAAATGATCAGCTCATCAGCAAGCTTTGCAGAAGCCTGATCAGGATCTTGAGCGTTTGAAGCGGGTGTCTTGGAGGAGGGAGACCTTAAAAACGGGCAGGACGGCGGCCCGCGAGGACCCGGCTTGGGTTGCCGTAGTTGACAGTTTAAATACGCTATATGTCGACAGCCTAAATCGAAAGATAATCTTGATTTTTGTTTTTCTCTGTTGTAAACTGAAACAAATATCAAAGGACAAAGTCATGAAGGTAACACAAAAAAAGATCACTTTGTTCACTTTATACTTTGTAAAATAATCTGGATTTTTTTTTCAGGCAACCATTGGAGAAATGCCGCCCCCCACAAAAAAAAAAAAAAAAAAATCCAACCAAAAAAAGAAGATGGGGGTGGGGGGGATGATCTCAAAGTTTCCTCGAAGGCCTCAAATGTCCAAACTGGTTGTGATTGAAACAATTTCAATCACACGCAATGTAACATGCAAGAAACAAGCGCAAGTTGGTTTTGCCTCGAAATCAAACGTGATGACCACTCCGCCCAAAAATAAATCTTATTTTTGGGCGGAGTGGTCATCTCATAAGTCTAATTCAAATGTAACTTGATGGATGTGTGGGTATTAGAATTGGAGAGTATTTCAGACTTCAACACATACTGTACAAATGTTTTGGGGGTGTTCAACTGATGAGGCTAGTTTGTTTTGTTATTTCCAGCCTTTATTTCTTCTTTCATTTGCGATCTGCGTTTACAAATCGCCTGTTCAATATAAAACAATGAAACGTGCGGGATACCTATTGACCTCAGTACTTTATTTTTTTCAACAAAAATGTCTTGCGTTGTTTCATGCTGCTCTGTTTTTATCTGTGACTAAAAAAAAAAAATCACATGCCACAGTCATGGTTTGAGTACAGTTGCTTAGAATGTGATTTTATTTTCTTATATTTTCAACAATGTGCCAGGTAAAACTGTAATGTTTCAATTTTCCTTCTGGGGGATTATTGAAAAATCAATGTAACTTATTGGTGACACACTAAACTTTGATGCGCAGGCATTTTCAAAATTGTTACATTGAAGCGGTTGTGTAAATAAATAGTTTAAATGTAAAAAAAAAAAAATAATAATAATAATTCATGAAAGAAAATAATGCTGGTCGTACCATTTTTGTTTGGTGTTGAAATAGGTTTGCAATGTTTTTAAAAAATGTGTTTAAATGTACAAAAAAATAAAATAAAATTCATGAAGGAAAATAATGCTGGTCGTACCATTTTTGTTTGGTGTTGAAATAGGTTTGCAGTGTTTTTAAAAAATGTGTTTTAAGAAGCTTAAATGTGTTTGTTTCTCTTGTTTTGATTTGGTGCAATCAATACAAGTCTTGCAATGACCTTGGACCACAAGTCAAAATAAGCAGCCGAATTTGATGTTGACATTTTATGCGGAAGTGGGTTGCTGCCACAACAGGTGAAAAAAAAAACTCTCTTGTTTTGATTTGGTGCAATCACTACAAGTCTAGCAATGACCTTGGACCACACAAGTCAAAATAAGCAGCCGAATTTTATGCGGAAGTGGGTTGCTGCCACAACAGGTGAAAAAAAAAAGTTCAATCTCACGTCATAACGTGATGCCCTTCACATTTTCAAACGCGACAAATGATCAGGTTGGAACGTGAAATTGACCGCGTTCTTCCATGAAATGTATGACGTTGCAACGTGAAACGTATCACGCCACGTGAAATTTATCACGTTACGTCATGAAATTGACGCGAAATGCCCTTCACATTTGCAAACGCGACTCGTTTGAACGTGACAAATGATCAGGTTGGAACGTGAAATTGACCGTTTTCTTCCATGAAAAGGATGACGTTGCAACGTAAAATTTATCACGTTACGTCATGAAATTGACGCGAAATTAACGACGTTATGATCCGGTATAATTTATCACGTTATACTGTGACATTTATGACGTTAAAAGATGACATTTACCGCGCTAAAACGGGTCAAAATTTACGAGAACACGATACAGGTGCGACTGCAATCCACTCTTGTGGTTTTCCAATAGATTTGATGCCTTCTGTTCAAACGTGTTTGCGGTAAAGCATAAAATCACGTTCGCGTGTGAAATTGATCACGTAAATTTTCACCAATCCCGGGTGGGTCGATGAACGGTGGCTCCGCGTATATTCAAGAAATGAGATCAATTGAAAGTTGGCGCTGGACAAGTCAAGAAGTTTCCAATTTTCTTGGTGCAAGGCAGCGAGTGGAGTGGCCCTTGAAAGGTGGCGCCAGTGCGAGTGGTGCGTCCGTATATTCAAGAAATGAGACGAATTGAAAGTTGCGCTGGACAAGTGAAGAAGTTTCCGATTTTCTTCGTGCAAGGCAGCGAGTGGAGCGGCCCTTGAAAGGTGGCGCCAGTGCGAGTGGTGCGTTCACGTACCGGGGTCGTCCTCGTCGCGGGGCACCTTCTTGAAGCAGTCGTTGAGCGACAGGTTGTGTCGGATGGAATTCTGCCAGCCGGCCTTGCTCTTCTTGTAGAAGGGGAAGTTGTCGGCCACGTAGGCGTAGATCTGACTGAGCGTCAGCTTCTTGTCGTGAGCGTTCTGGATGGCCATGGCGATCAGCGCCGAGTACGAGTACAGGTACGGGCTGGGCGGGGAGCCGTACTCGGCCAGGCCGAAGCCGGCGGCTCGGTGAGCGGGGGGCTGGAGGTTCTGAGGCGGCTGCTGCTGCTGCTGGTGGTGGTGGTGGTGGGAGGGATGGTGATGGTGGTGGTGGTGGTGGTGGTGGTACATGCCGCTCAGGGAGTCGCAGTACACGGCCATGTCGGCGGGCTCCTGGGCGCCTTTGGGTGCGGAGGAGTGATGCTGGTTCTGCTGATGGGACTCGGGATCGATCATCACTCCCGGTGAGGGGTGCAGCGAAGCCGGCCGGCCGGAGGTGGAGGTGGAGGTGTTGTCTTTTTTGGCCGGTTCTCTCAACAAGTGTCAGGCGCTGTCTGTGCAAAACTTCTTTGAATTGTATTGACGCCATTGACGGCGAAAAGCTCGGCAGCCAATCACCACGCGACGGGGGCGTGGTCGACCCCAGACACGGCTCAAGTCTCCCCGGGAGTCGAACCTGCCCCGGGGAAACTGACAAGTTTGCTTTCACTCGGCTTGAGCCTCACGCCGACTAAACTAACTCTGTAACGAATGAAAAATACCGTTGTTATGGACTTTTAAAAAAATCATAACTTGGATCCATATGATTATGTTTGCATTAGGCTCCACAAAATAATAAACATCAATTAAAATCACGCTTTGGATTGATATGACTGTTTTCATTTGCTTCCACAAAATTGAAAATGCCAAAGTAAAAACACCTCCCGTCCCAATGTTTCGTGTTCAGTACAAGGTTGCATAAAATTAAAAAAATCAATTAAAAAAAAAGTAACAACATATAAATAAGTATATCATTGTTTGTCGATTTTTTTGTAGAATTTTCAATCCTCTATATCCAATTACAAATGGCAATAATAATAATAATAAATGATGATAAGATCACATTTTTTAAAGTCGATTTGTTCTTGTAGTTTTTTTTTAATGCATACCACTTTGGATTCATCTGGTTACATCTAGCGAAGGAAAATGATAAATCCCACAATTCGTAAAAAAAAAAAAAAAATCTTCAAACAACACGGAGAACCCATTTCGTCTGTCGGTTTTTACAATTCGCAACGCGCAAGTCCTGACAAAAAAAGCTCGTCAGCCCATCTCAAGGCGGGGGGTGGCGACAAACGTGAGTCGAACCTCCCGCGGAGAAACCCCGACAGGCTGGCCGTGAGCCAAAACCGACCCGTCAACGTTTCTTCAACACAATCAATCATAAAGTGGCTCTCTTTTGGATGTCTGCTTTCGCGGTGCCACAAAAAGTTAGAGAATGGGGGGAAAAAAAAAAACTTCCGTGCAATAATTCATTCAGTGTTCCACTTTTTGCATTGAACTTCTGAAACGTTCGTGTTTGTAATCCAAGTTTAAAATGTCATCAATAAAAATAGACAATCAATGACAATGAAAAACAATCCTGCTCCGCACAACAAAAACATGAAAGTTGTCTTTCAGAGGTCATTTTAAAAAAAAAATCTCCACTTGAAAATGGAGCTTAACTCATCCATGAAAAAATTGCGATGCAGCTTTACTTGCAAAGGAACTTTTGTTGCTCTTCTTGTTCATTTCTCTCAATCGCCGCTTAGAAAGTCATCGATGACGATCGCTCATAGAATAAAGTGAATCGTGAATTAAAAATGGAAATGACGTTTTATTCGTCAGGTGAGAGCCAGCTGGCAAGCAAGGAAAAGAGGCCATGTGTCAGACGTGCGCTAAATGACAAGATTTCATAAAATTCCACCCGGTGCTGCGATAATTAACAGCGGGGGGGGGGGGGCTCTGTGGCTCCTAATCGCTGATAATTACGAGTGCTGCGGAGGAGTGGCTACATTGTAATTAAAGGACATGTTGCAATAAGGCGAGCTGTCAAAGGTGAGGAGTGATGACATCTTAAACGTCTCCCGGAGGCCAGCAGTAAAACGTGTTCTCTTAACGCTCATTAACGCGTCTGTAGAGCTCTTGAAACGGAACTTTGGAACACGAAAAACACCTGGGTCAAAAAGGGCCTGACCCACGACCCTGTAAAAAAAAAACCAACTTCTATTTTTTTTCAATCTACCGTGTGTCGCTGTAACAGCTGAATTTCCCTCCTGGTGGTCATTCACAGTCTTATTTTTGCTTATCTTTGTTGAGCTTCTCGCTGTTAGTTTAGCGAATGATTATTTTCCCACCAAAAGCCCTTTTGAAAATAAGTGTTGCAATAGCAAAAAAAAAAAATGTTAGCGTCAAAGCTACTTTTCTGCTTGACGTGTCCCTTTTCACAAAAAAAGTTATTTTTGCTGCTTTTGGTCAGAAACTCGTGCTTTTGGTCAAACCAACTTATTTGCTGATTATTAAAGAATGGAAACGAGACAAAACTTCTTTATAGTGAAAGGATAGAGTCCAGACTTTCTTTTTGAAGGTTCGGTACTTGTATTGTCACAAAACACAATGTTCTGTCAGTCAAAATGCTCCCAAACGGTTGATCACTGAATGAGTGAAAGGTCATTTGAGCAAATTAGCTTTTTCAGAAGTGTGTAACAAACTGGTAGCCCTTCGCATAAAACCGTACCGCAAAATTAGCTCTCAATTTCAAAAAGGGTTGTTGGCCACCGGTAAACGCGGATTCCTCCAAGTGGTGTGCTTCATACAAATGAGCAGGGAAGACAACATAATAACATTGAGAGATTGTTCATTTCGTTACACACAAACGTGAAAAACAATGAAAATGTCTTTTTCCAAAAATGGTATGTGATTCGTTTCTTCCAATCCGTTTTAATATTGAAAGCTGATATTTCAACATGTCACAAGTCTCCCCTTCCGTGGCAGTGGAAGCTTATTCGTCGGGCAACACTTCCCCCTACCGCCTGCTTACAGTTAAGCGCAATGTTTGTCTGCCTGCGTGGTTCGAGACGACCACGAGATGGCGGCACCGCACCACAATGGCCAACTTGATGACTGACCCTCCCAACCGTGAAAAGGACCTGGAAGGCATCAAGGACACTTCAGGAACTTGGTCTGAAAACAACCCAAGCCCCTCCTTCTTCCATGTTTGACACATTAGCGCCTCGAGCGTTCGCGATATTGCCGCCTTCCATCCACCTCATGCTCTTTAGCCGCAGAGGAGTCGCCGCTCAGTTCGACTGTTTGGGGCTTGGCCGGAAGACTGACCCCGCTCGGTCGCCAAATGCCGTCCACGGGACAATGAGAATCAGCGGATAGGGGTAGCATGCGCAAGAAAGACACTTTGTCCTCTCCCTTCATGAGCCACTCATTTAAAAGAGCCATTGTAAACTCAATTTAACTCAATCGAATACGTGCTTGAGGTACTAACAAAAAAAAAACCCTCCTGTTTGAGGACACGTGACCGAGACCGCATTCATTTTCGAGAGTAGATATTACTTTAAAATTTCCAACCTTCCATTACCTTAATCGCTCATCCTCACAAGATCCATATTTAATTAATAGTCCTGTAAATGCAAGAAAAATGAGAAGCACAAGGACCTCACAACAGCTCCGACACAACACCACTTTACGGCAGTCGGTAGTGAAAGCAATCACGCACATATATCATTACGCCGTTCCTATACTGCCCCCTCTAATCAAATCAAAAATACCAAAGGGACTTAAATGTAACCGCATGTGTGTGGATCACACATACTTACAGATCTGGCGCCTGCGACGCTAGCAACTTTGCATTAGCGTGTACCGTATTCCAAATCTGTTTGGTTTTTAATTTAGCAAACTGCCGTCCAATCCTTCGTGAAAAAATTTGAACCGCATCAATCAAGGTTTCCCACAGATGAGAGTAACAAGGTCAACATACATAATTTGACCGATGCTACCGTGTGCCAAACACGGTTGAAAGTCATGCATTCTTGAGACGCAAACCCCGACAGGGATTTACGGCAATAACTATATGCCGTAAATTCAATCAATCAATCAATCAATCAATCAATCAATCAACAGTTATCTGGGTCTGTGTGTAAGTGTGCGCGTGTGTAAAGAGGGGCATTGATATTTGTTTCTTGCCACACTAGGTTGCATTGAGGACGCGTACAATGAGTTCATTTAGCGCAATTCTATTTGGGGGACACGTAATACGTCAACCCCCGCCCCCCAACCCCGCCCCCCAAGAATCCACATTCATATGTTCGTCTGGACGTCGCCGTTTACACAGGCAGATAAACACTGTGTCCATACACACACACACACACACACACACACACACACACACACACACACACACACACACACACACACACACACACACACACACACACACACTTACGGGTGTGGGCTATTCGTGGTGGGTGGTAATGGTGATGTTGGAGCTTTTAGTAGTGCACAGATAACGTCACAGTGTACTGACAACGCTTCCATGGCGACAGAGGTGGCTCAAGTCTGACGCAATACCCGCAGTGGCCTGCAAGTGGCAGAAAAGCGCCACAGGGTATCCAGCGAAGAAGAAGACGCCAGCTGTTTGCTTTCGCTTTGTAACACCTTTACCGTTTCAGATGTTAACAAGTACGTTTAAAGTCGCTGTAAAATGTCATGTCAAATTTGAAGCACGAAAACAATTGCCAATCATTCTTGTGGGCGGGTCCGCTGAATGTGATGAAACCTGTCAATCAAGTACCACTTCTTTGACCTGCAAAAATGGATGCTAAAACTCCTAGTAGATTTCTCATGCCGCAGCCTACACGTTTGAACCACCAAAATGAATCTGCTTAAAGACTGCGGTGGATGAAATACGGTACTGTATACTGAAGTGGCCAGGCCAGCCCAAAGCAATTCCCTCCAATCATGTTTGACATTTTTCGAAAAAAATCTCTGACTGCACTTTATCGGGTGTTAACGTCGCAACCCCGACACTCAATCCTCGCCCTCCACACTGTTTCATCTGTGAAGTGCCGGTTTTGCCCAAGTTCCCCGTGAAAAGCTGTAGTGATGCCACTACCACTTGGAAGTTGCTGTTTTCTGCGTGGTGCTGTTCAGTATTAGTGTCCTGTGCCTTCCATGCAAAGTGCTTAAGCTAGTTGACAGTCCAGGAAGAAGGTTTACTTGACTTGTCAAGTGTTAAAAGGGGTAATAAATGGGCTTGGCAGAAGCGGGCTCTTTTAAGGACTTGGCTGTTGGGCTTCAAGGCTCCAGAGCCTCGACGCCCCCAAACAGAGTAAATAGTCACTGGGAGAGTTGACTTTCTCCACTGTTGACACGGGGAGGCTTCTCATGGATTTTTGGAATCATTTTGGATTCGCGCACCGCTGCGCAAGCATCAGCGCGAACACAGATACAGACACGACATTGCGCAGCAGAGTTGACCGCAACACAAAGCCTGACTCACACGGCGTTGCGGAGCGAGTGCGTGTCACTATCAAAGTCTTGATGTGAGCTGAGGTTGCCCTGCCACGTTTTCGCCCAACTGATGTCATCCTTCGCTAACGGGAGCCTTCTGCCTGTTGCCATGATGACCGACAGACCCCCCACCCCCACCTCCCCCAGGTGGGAAATGGGCAGAGGACAGCAGGGGGAGGCAGAGTTCACGTCGGAGTGCACTAACACTGCGGGGCTGAGTCGTGTCACAGGGACAAAAAAGAGGCTGCGCCAAGCGCAGCGTGTGAATGCGCAGTGAGTGAAGTGAATTGTTGGTGGTACTCTGCAGTCAGAGTGTAACCGCGT